TTGCGAGCGAGGGTACAACTAAGTGGACAGATCTCGGATAGCTTTGCAGTTGTCTCCGGTATCTCTATGTCTTAGCTCCTGCTCTGTTTCATATTTACTTTCATGCAATAATGTCTTGTAATTTTGATAGTGATTGTAATTATCGTGTCCGTGTAGAACACCGTATTGATGGTGGGTTGCTGAACATTCGTCGTTTCGGTGCGAGGACCCTAGTCTGAGACAACTATGCGTAGGTTTCTGTTTGCTGACCATTGTGCGTTGTTTGCATACAGCGCGGATGAGTTGCGACACATGACTAGTACTCTAACTTCGACAGCGGCCAAATACGGGCTCACCATAAACCCAAGCAAAACTGTCTGTCTCTTTCACCCTTCGCCGGAAGTGCAATCTGCAATGATGCCGCGAATCAGCGTTGGTAATGAAGTAATAGAAACCATCTCCTGCTTCCGCTACCTTGGGAGGTTGGTTTAGACTGACCAGGAAATTTGCAGTGAGCTTCGTATCCGCGCATCGAGGACATGGGCGACATTCGGGAAGCTTGAGTACCGAGTGTGCAACAACCACCAGCTTGCCGTCGGCAAGAAGCTGATAGTGCACAAATCCATGGGGCTGTCTGTTCTTCTATATGGCAGCGAAACATGGAAGAATTACCGGCGAAATATGAGATATTTCGAGCGGTTTCATCAACAATGAATGCGACGTATTCTTCGTATCGGTCGTTGCGACGGAGTTGCGGATACGGAGCCGCTGCGCCGAAGTGGAATATGTACATTTGACTGCATACTCTTACAGCGACACCTAGGGTGGCTTGATCATGTATGCAGTATGGATTCGACGCGGATACCGAAGTAGATGTTGTATTGTCTGCTGAATGTGGAGAAGCATCATGAGGGGAAAGCGAGGCTTCTTTACCGGGGCATGATGAAGATGAGCCTATCACGTTCCGATGTTGCTTTCAGGTGTTAGGAACCGAAAGCGTTTGATCGATGCGCATGGCTTGATCTGATCACCAAGTCAGTTGCCGATGTGCAGAAGAAAGCCCTCGTGCATGCAGAGAAGAATAGGCAGGTGCGGGAGCGACAGACGCCAAAGGGGGTGTACTTTATCGACGTTGAGCACATGGTGCCGTAGCACATGCGGTCGCGAACGCCTGAGTAGGGCAGGTCTAATGAGTTATGAGCAAGGCCACTCGGGACCAGTATCGAAACGACGACGGATGCTCCTGAGAACGTAAACAGTAGCGACCAGCGTTGGTCGGTTCGCTGCACGCGCTTTCGTTCGATTTACCAATCTCGTACTTGGGTGCTGAGTCGCTTTATTACAGGGGATTCGTTTGCTGTATTGTCCATGCTTATTTCGTTATCGCATTTTCGTGTCTACCTAAATAATCTTCTATTAACTTGCATATGTTACTTTAACTAAAGATAGTTAACCGGTTTTTCTCATTCGTTGCATGTTTTTGAACTCTTGTTCTGCCATCTTTAATTTATCGCGAATATGTTGCTAACCCATTTGTTTCATATGCTAATTTAGCGAAGAGTTATCTTTACATATTCATATACTTTATTCGATCTATTTTCTTGGTTATTGTCACGTAAGGTGATTGACTGTTGCTTGACATCCCCGGTGTGGTTGCGGTTGATGTGTATGTTGACAATGTGCTTACCTGTCTATTATCCACCACCTCGTCCATACTGGCTCCAGCAGATAGTTGGTCGTTGCTGAAGGGGACGGGGGTGCACGGTCTTCGTTGCCCTCCTAGGCTCGTAGAGTCGTTCCATGCACGCAGTATGTATCGGACTATGGTTCAGCCACCACCTTGTGTGCGCTTGATTCCCCACACACAGCTGTTTGTGTTTGCATGTGAAGCAGTGTGGACCGTCTTCGTTGATGAAATTTTGCTCCCATTCACATATTCCTCGGTCTTATTCCTTCGGTGTTTACACTGGATACGTGGTGGTGGATGGAGCTGTGGGTGGGGTAGCGCGAACCACCTATGGTCCTCTGTGGGCGCAGGTGTCTTGTGGCTGTACTATGGATGCCGTAGTGACAGGCACATCCCGATCCGGATGACCCCGACCATATTCATCATTGGACATATTTAGCTCAAATGATGCACACCAATTACAGTTCGAACCGCATATTAGATAAAGAAAAATGTGACCTCAAGGTTGAGCCCCACCACGTTTAGCAGCAACTGTAAGGACGGAAAATGACCCAGGGCCAACCAGTCCATGAGTTTGACGTTTGCCTTTTTGAATTCGCACTGAACACAGACTTGGCATTTGCTGAGAAGTACTCACACCTACTAAGTCTGGGTAAGATGTTGTTTGGTCGTTACTCCACTGCTTCTTGCTTTTGTCTTGGGAATGCGTCTCTGATACTTCTCTTTGACTCGATATTCCAAAAAGCAGTCCGGCAATATTTAGTATGATTTCCAATTTTAAATTATAATTATAGACTATTTCTCAGCGCTTATTTGCAAGAAACTAGGACGGCGTAACCCAGTAATTCACTAAGGAAGTGTTGTTTAGATTTCTTAGTCTTCAAAATCCGGTGGTGGCCTGAAAGAAATTGTGCCCAACCACGAAGCATAGCATTGCGATAACATCTACGGTCGCGTCTAAACGGTCAGTGTGGCTGAATCAGACTACTTGCTGGTATTTGTTCCATGCATATAGTACGCATTCGCTTCAGGATTGCATATGAATGCCTAATGGATCTTGACACCGGTACAATAACAATGCAGCTCTAATGTTTATCTGTGCTTTAGGTAGGTGTCGGAAAAGATGTACACTCACGCGTTAGCAGCAGAACGGGAAAGTAAAATGATTACCCTGTTGCATACCTGTGGATAGGTCAAGCTTTAAAGATCTACGGGAATGTGAAAGAAGCGTGCGTGGATACTCACCCCCAATTAACACAAATGGCTTGCAGAGTTGTTGGAGCGAATTTTATCCAACAAATTCACCCTTTAGTTACACTGCTCATTATGTTAATTGACGTTAGATGAGCCATTCATTTGACAGTCACTGGAATTCATGCTGAATATGAATGAATAATTTAGCGACCCAACCTGTTCTCACTACCTTCGCTTTTTAACGCACGTGGTTAACATGGGCAATTTATGATCTAGTCATGGTTCCTAAACGCGTTCGGTGTGCTTCCCATTAGGCGGGAGTAGTTTTAATGCATATTGATTCTTTTTTCCACAAAGCTACTTATCAGTAAAACTTGTACCTTTCCATTCGTCCTATGATATGGAGTAAGTTACTGCTTCCGTATGATATTATTTATATGCCACTGATACTGCAAATGATGGGCTTCGTAGATGCACTATGAAGCAAGCAGACTGAATAATTCAGCCATCCTTAATTCCATTTAGGAATGAACACGGTTTAATATACTAAGCTGTAGTGGATGCGCTTGGGAACCTTATTGACCACAGAAACTTGTGGATAGCATTTCATAATGTATACGAAAAGCCTCCAATATTTTAAGTTTATTGGTTCCCCGAGTAGAACATGTATGGAACTCCGAACTTGCAGTATGGCTACTTTAAACGACGCAAATATCAAATCGTTCCCGACCCCATCTATCATCATTTCACTTGGATGCTTATCCTCTACGAGGTCAGTATTTATTTGATATCGTTTGTGGGAATGTTAATGTTTTCCACCTTGTTAAAATCGACTTAAACTCTTTGGTTTCGAGCTTGTTTCACTTTGCGCATGAAACATACAAAAACCATAGGCATCTCGGAACTTTCACCCAGCATGCCAGCCATTACTATGAAACTTCATATAAGTACGCAACCTTTGAATCAACTAGCGGATTGCAATTGTTTTCACTTTGGAGGTCATTAGAAGGACAGTGATTTAGTTTGGTCATACGAAGCTTGGAATGGATGATATCAACTACAACAACTGCTTGCAAAATTAGCTGGTTTGCAGATGGGACATCGTTACCCCGTTAATCTATTGTCCGTTAGTTTGTAAATCCCTACCGTCTGCCGTTGTCCCCCATGGCTCACCGGCATAAACTCCGGGCTAAGGGTGCAAGCATCTGGTGGTCATGCTTTCGAATCCTGGTGGAGCCGATGGACACGCGCTACTGACGAGGCTCAATAGATTGAAAAGGTCGCCCAGTGCTCTTCCGGGTATATGGATGAGTATCAGATTTGTACGCCACTGTGAAGAAGCTTACAACAATTCCTCTTTTCAGCTTGTTTGTACGAACAAATAGCTTTTCAAAAGAAAGTTGCGTTCATAGCTGATAATGAAATAGAACTTGTCACTAACTACAATTGGCATATCGTTTTGTGAGTGTAGCACTTCCCAACTTACCTGCATTGCATGCTTCCCACCTAGCTTTACGAAAAATTCACCTTGGTCACCAGTAGACAGGTTTGCAGCTAGTCTTTGACGATTTGTTCTGTAGATGAAGTTCATCGCAGTTATCTCTCAGTCACACGGGCTCACCCCCGTCTATAAAAACACCAGACGACCGTTTGGCTTTCTAGGTCTCCTCAGTGGTGCGTGTTCTTCGGTCCTCTGCCGGGTCCCGACCCCATGACTTTCGGATGCCAGCAGCCTGTGCCACTAAGCCATGGGTAACGGCATCGGACCTGCATGACTGACCGTTGACTACGATCTACTGCGGCTTATCCTCCAGCGTTATGCCAGTTGCAACTGTGCAGAGGGCAGTGATTGGCCCCAGAGCTACAACAATGTCCTACTCAACTGTCAGTCATGTAGGTCCCGTCGTCACCCATGGCTTAGTGGCACAGGCTGCTGGCACCCGAAAGTCTTGGGGTGGGAATATGGTAGGGATCCGAACAACACGCACCACTGACCAGAACCAGAAGGTCGGAACGGCCGTGTCGTGCTTTTCCCGATATATGAGAACCTGTGTGACTAAGAGATGATTGCGATGAACTTCCTCTAACTTAAACCCAAACCCCCGTAACTCATTGATAATCGTTCTTTACTTCCTTTTAGTCAAAAGACCCATATACTTCCTGCTACACCGATCCGCATGAATGGGTCTTATGAATATGGTTCACCGTCTATTGGCCGAACGATGACGCCCCATTTGGTAAGTCACCTACCAGGTTCCTTCCACCTGTTTGTTGCGTTGATTGTCCTCCGCTTATCGCCTCATGTACAACACGCGTACGAATCCTTACGCCCTCTGCTTGAGAACCGAAGCGGCTGTTGTGTACGTTTTCCTGTTTGGATACACCATAACTGAGGTAGATGTTCGTCATGCTTGCGGTTGGATAAGACTTGAATCGTCGGACGTTTTGCCTCACACTAGGTGACATATGCTCAGTTTGGATCTACACGATACGAAGGTTGACAATGCGCTCATCTCTTTCCATACAGAGTGTTGGACTTCACTGCTGGAAACGGCATGCAAGCGTTCGTGAAGGAACTAGCCTCTTAGTGATACCTTAACGCAGCGTTGGTGTTGGTCTGACGCGTAATCTCTTCATCCCATGGCTCCAAATGTTCCCGCAAGAGTCAAATACCCTGTATGTATAAGTCTATTCTCGTAGAATACCTTGCCTCCGCAGTCCCTCAAGGTTGCCGTGACCATGTGTGTACCACGTGGATCCGCCCACCCATGTATGACTTGCGTGTTTGATGGAAAGTGGGTAGGGTTCGCCACGCATGCTAACTATGACACCAGGTCCGCCACAATGTACGAAAAATATACATTAGGTATCCGAGAGAGCGCTCATTAGCCGTTTTATCTAACCGGTACTCATCTACAGTGCGAACACACTCTAACCATTTGGATTCGAACCAACGATAATGAACCTGACAGTTAACGGCTTACGCAGCCGATCCCTAGGTGACGTTGACGACCTACGTGATGAGATTACTAGATGTTTGCCACAACCAACCAAAAGAATAAGTAGTGCTGCTCAATCCATTTTCTTCCCTGTATATACACAGATATCGTGTGGCTGCATTGACCGACAATGACCATTGTAGTCCATGGTATTAAACACCACCCTACATTCTGCTTCGCTGAGAAACAATCAGAAGTTTGATTTCCATAGTGATGGTTACTAATAAGGCGCCTTGCCATTTTCGCTAAGTTTATTAAATGTTGGTAGTGAGATAGGCTTGGCATCGTGCGCCTCTTTCTGTCAGGCCCGCAACTGTTGGTTACCATGAATTCTAGCAAACCTAATAAGTCACGTGGAATGAAGCTCTGGCTAGTCCAACTAGTTCTTGCTGCCCTGGTCGATTCCGGGTTAGCGTCAGCAGCTGCTTTTTGCACACTGAAGCGAGACAACCGATCGATGAATATAATTCAAAGCTAGCATAAAAGGCGTTGTTTCTGCTTAACATGTTATTAAAGGAGATTGTAGCACGGCTGACCTGATGACTATTGACGTAGCCATGCCGGTTCGGACGTCAGAGATGAACCACTAGGGGAAATGTTGGGTAATTCTGACACGGACACTTCGATCAGCAGTCAATTTAAGTTCTGGGACTTAGTCGAAATGGCACAAAAGACATTGGGTTAGATGGAGTGGAAGTAACAAGGCAACCTTGCATAGCACTGACCGCCTGTAATTCATCAGGTGCCTCAGGAGGAAAACAAGGAGAGTTCCAGGCATCATAGGTCGAAAAGTTACAAGCTTTGTTGGGCCGTTGTTCGAAGGCAACCACTTCAACAGAACCAATACGGAGTGGCTTAGCGTCCCAAGAGACAGGTGTACAGCACGACAGATACCAATAACTACAACTAAGACACTCATCCCACTCAATTCACAAGCTCCTATGCAACCTTGGAGACAACTGTTTTGATTCACTGACCAAAATCTTCTCCCCATACTAACTTGGTGCATCTACAAAAGTTTGCGCTAAAGGATAGCATTGTTGATCACCGGACTGTTGGAATTTGCAGACTAGACTATGTCATTGGCCACCAGACGCCTAATGATCGCCTGGACTCAGGTCAATCCGATGGATGCTTCACAGCCTAGATTCAATCCGAACCAGTGTCATCGATCCAGAGTAAACTACACTTAGTGTACAAAGACGATTGACATCACAATAAACCTGCTGTGACAGTAACAATCGCACGCCCGTAGTGCACTCCACGTAACCTTAGAGCTTGTTTGAAACATTACTGGTTGCGTATCTGCGGTTAAGAATGGCTCACTAGATTATTAACGCATCTCAGCTGACCCACGCACACAAACCCACTAGCTCGCACACTTCTCAGCTAACGCGATGAATTCGCCTACATTCGTTTACCCCCAGCTGGGTAAGCAGCTAAGCCACTGGAAAGAAGGTCGCGGTTAGTTGTATTTAGGATAGAGCGGCTGAAAAACACTTTTAGCAGCACTTCTTCCAGTTGAGGTAAACTTGTCACAAAGGACAAGCAACTGTACCTGCTTTTGTTGAGCTCACCGGATGAGCCATCTGACACTGAGCACGGTTCGTGTTTTAACCCGAAGTAGAATGACACGCAGGCACTCCCATTCTGTTATGGGGGTTCTCCGTGAGCAATATTCAAATGCAAATTCAAATGGGACAGGAACAAAAGGCAACTCCCATAGTCGTTCCATCTTGTATACGTCGTTGATCCACGTTAGAATGCGGTGGCAAGATCGGCCAGTTGTGGGAGCCAAATCAGCACGTATAAATCAAATCATGGCCAACCAATCAAAACCCACGTGCTCTGCGCTAGCAGTCCCCGCTGCGCCGATCGCGTGAAACAAAAAAGGAAAAGAAAATTGTAGACTAGATATAAAGCGGAAGGGTACGAAAGAGGACAATGAAGAGGACGTTAGTAAGAGTGAATAAAAAGGAAGATAGCTAGAGAGCAAACAGAAACTAACTTAAATGGAGAAGGGGAAGATTCGGAGTTGCAATTTAAGGGCGTCGAGGTGATGTTTAAACTCTGTTACCGTGGATGACAAGACTACGTCCTCAGGCAGCACGTTCCAAGAATCTATCGCTCGGCGTGACAAATGAGCGTCAGCCCGAACCCGATCCGATCTGAGTCTGTGCAATTTCATCGGATGCCCCGAAGAGTAGGTAACTATGTAGGATGAGGAAGCCAAGAGAGGTCTGGACCCATCCGCCCTGTCAGTATACGGTAAGTGAGAATCAGGTTGCCACGAAGATGACGATAATGTAACGAAAAGATCCTTAGCTTGAGCGACCTGTCAGGATAGGACAGGTACCGTAACCCGTGGACCATTTTGGTTCTGATTCTCAAGACCTGCTCTACCGCCATCCTGTCATGAGTCAGGCAAGGATGACAAGCCTGGACGCAACACTTCAGTTGCGATCTAACAAAGGCAGTAAACAATTTAATAAACCTTTCTTCCGTTCGGATCAAAAATGATCTACGGATCATCCGGAGGGTTCGAAAGCCCCTGCAAGACGCTTTCTTCTACGTCTCGGTGGATTTAAAGTCCTGAGACAAAGTGATCCCTAACTCAATTTGTTGGGATACGTGAGGGATTTCATTATCGCCAAGCATGTAGTGCGTTGTCGGGCCATTTGATCCTAGGAGCAAAACTGAACACTTGCTGTAGTTTATTGGCATCTGCCACAGAACTGACCAATCAAGGAGTCAGTCAAGAGCCCGTTGCAGAACTTACAAGCTAGCGGGGTCGCTCACCGTGCACCCAAACATGCAAGTCTTCGGCGAACATGAGGATAGGCAGCCCCAGTACTTCTGGTAGTTCATTTACGTATATAGAAAATAGCTGTGGACAAAGAACTGATCCCTGCGGGACACCGCTCAGAACCGCCTGTAGAAAAGGAAGACTGGAGCCCACCCAAACACACATCTCCCGCCCTTCGATAAATGCGGGTAGCTATTGAAGCGCACGCCCGGAAACTCCGTAGAAACGGAGCTTAAGTGTGAGACGCGTATGCGGGACAGAGTCCAACACTTTGGAGAAGTCATTGAATAGCACATCCACCGATTGACCCTGATCGACAGACTCCGCCCAACTTTCCGTAGCAACCATGTTGAGCTGGTCTGAGAAGACCAAACCTTCTTACATGTTTTCCGTGGGCATCCCCCATCAGCTTTTTTAGCAACTTAACCAGCACATAGGTTAGACTGACATCCATGTAGTTCACAGGAAGATGCTTATCTCCATTTTTAAAGATGGGGAAAACTACAGCTTCCTTCCAGTCGGTGAGTAAAGTGCAACTGGTCAGAGACTTCTCAAACACGCAAGCTACGGGCCCACAAATTTAATTTGCCATTTCATATAACAAGTTTGGATGAATGACATCAACACCAGCGGCTTTGGTAGGGTTCAGTTCTAGCAGCAGTGAAGGCATCTGGGCCTCTGACACGGTGCTATCGATCAACAAAGGGTCTGCTGGAACTTTCTCCGCCGAATCAATAGTTGGTAAAGGTGCATCGAGAGTAAACTTTTTCGCATACTGCTTGCCGAGAAGACAGACGTTGTCGGGGTCAATATGCGCAGTAACCCATCAGGTCCGTGCAACACCGCAACGGATCGATCCGCATGGCATTGTCTTCTGACGTAAGCGAACAATCGCTTCGGATTGTTTGAAGCTGTGTTTGCTAGCTCCACTTTGCATTGCTTGGGTGCTGCTTACACTTGTTCCGTGCCGCTCGATAACACCGCAAGGCATCATCTGACAGAGTCAAAAAGTAACTCCGCCAACACCTGGCCCGCTTGTTTAGCAGTTGACGTGCGGTTAGATCAAACCAGAGTGGGTTGGAGTTTGCTTTCCTTCCAAATGAAAGCGGAATGTGGGAAGGGACATCTCAGAGAGGAATGTCTTGAATTTCTCCCATGCCGTTGGCATATCATCTGCGGCCAAGATGGTGCAGGATGATAAGGCAGCTCTGGATCGCATTGCGTTAAAATCAGCACGCTTGATGTCTGGGCATCTAGCCACGCATTTTTCTTGTACTCTATTGACAGTGTACTCGAAGGAAATGCAGGCATGGTCACTAGATCCAAGCGGCTGACCGTAAACTATGTTATTTACGAAATCAGCTGTTTGCGAAAATAAGATCAAGAATAGACGGAAACTGTCCCTCCACAAACCTTGTTGAGTGATCTACAA